GAACCCGAATAGTTAGAGGCCCTCAAAAGTTGAGGAAAAATAAGGTTAATTCAATACTTTATAACGGAAAGACCCTCGAAAGTTGAGGGAAAATAAGGTTAGTTTAATACTTTATGATGGAGTTAGGAAAACGAGTTTGAGATTTAATTGTGATGGAGTATTTGACATAATTATTGGTCTTACTATGGGAAGATTGATAGTTGGTTGATTTAATTTGTTATTTATGTGATCATTTGAAGTATTTGTTGATGGATAAAGATGCAATTTACAAGAGAGACTCTTCGAAATTTTATTAGATGTTTGAAAAAAAATATTTATTAAATAATTTTGTGTTGTCTCAAAAATACAAAAATAAAATAATGAGGTCTCGATCAACTAAAGGAGAGAAAAATTTAGAATATTATTATGATTATTGTAATTAAAGATCAATTTTATTTTTTGTATTCATTAAATTATATAATTTTCTCTATTATGCAATTTTTATATTTGTTGTGTATTTTGGATGTGTTGAATTTTTTTTTTTTGTTTTAATTCATAATAATTTATAATATATTTTTTGTCGAATTGTTATTCATATATTAAACAAATTCGAGTGCTATTATAGAGTTATGCCTCACGGATTGGGTAGATCCGACTAGGGTTGCAAACTTGATAGTGATGCCGGCACATTTGTATCCCCTCAAGTAGTGCCCCCATCGGTAGTGCTTCCTACTATGGATGATTCCATTATGGTTTTCTCAATTCCAAGAAGGTCTAGTAGATCCGATGATAGAGTAACTATTTAAGTCGTGAATAACTAATAAATAATATGTTTTATATGCGATAATTAGTTTTATATTTTCATAAATTATATTACAATTAATAATTTACTTATTTACTTATTTATTAGTTTTGTTCAAAAGTTTGGCTCCATCAAGCAAGTACTCCACAAAAATAAGCATGATTTTGAAAGAGTGGTTTGATGTCACTTGTTCCATATTGAAGGTCGTCTCCATGGTAACAAAAGAATTATACTTTAATAAGTTTAGGGTAACTTATTAATTATTTGCTTATATTTCATTTAAAGTCCTAATTTACTCAAAAAAGAACTAATATTATTTTTTTCGTTAAAGTAGTACTTTTTATGAAATGCGACCATCGATGCTCTAATTAAGAATGTGTGGGAGAGTCTATCATGAAGGTTGTACGATGACATGTTAACAAGATAAAGCATAAGAGTAGAAGACTATTGTTTGTTAAAAAGTATGTATGGGAAGCATGAAGCAAGTATTGGGTCATTGCCAAGTATTAGGTTTTGATCTTAAAAGGCATCTTGAAACTACATGTCAAAGACCAATGATGCTAGTGCTAGCTAATCCAAGCCTACCAAAGGGTGCATCTCTTTGATCGAGCACACCGAGCATTTGGTAAATATTATATTTTTCATTATGTCATAAATTAATTTTTCCATGTATTTAATCTCATATTATTTTTTTATTTTTTTCAACATCATAAATAGGGTTATAACCTAAATCTACATAAGCTATTCATGATCACTCAAAAGCAAAAGCATGGAACATTCGTTGATAGGTAATCATAAATAGTAATGATAAGGTTTTATATTTTTTAAAATATATATGCATCTATTGATATAATCTAAAAAATATATTTATAATTTAATATTGTAATTCTTTTAATGACTTAGGAGCGAATGTAGTCAATGCAAGAAGCAACTACTAAGAAGCGACATGACGGTGATGCATCATCTCAAGATATAAATATGTCCAAGATATATTTGGATGATGTCGAAGGGGAGAAGAAGTAGAGAATGTATGGCATCGAAACTTATGAGTCCTAGTGTTACTTATAATCTAACGCTAGCTCCTCTTCTATAACTTTGTGGTATCCAAGTGGCGATAGTTAAAAGATGATATAGGAGATAGTGATAATAAGAACTAAATTTCTTTTAATTTTTTTTAAAAAATGTTTTATGCATCTAAAAGCATTTATATATTTATTTTATTTTAATTTATACAATTTTAATTTTATTAAATAATATATCATTTTTTAATAAGGTGTGTTTATAGTTGTTTGTAATTACAATTCCTAATAAATGGCTATTGATTTTTTTAAAAAAATATCGGCGATGGAATGGAGAGGGTAATTAGCAATAGATATATATGCAATTCCTAAATAGTGATAGATTAGCGACAAAATTACTAGGATATTAGCAACTATAATTTAGCAATAACCCATTTTGTCTCTATTTAGTGACGAATTTAAGTTAAAATAGCGATGGTTTGGTGTTGAATATGAGATATTAAAGATGATTAATTGAGATTGATTTAGCGATGAATATTTTATCACTAATTAGCAATGGAAGAAAAACTCGGTCGATAAAAAAATAATGACCACAATATTAGAGATGAAAATTATTTTGTCTCTAATCCATTGATAATTGCATATAACGATGAATTTTTGAAAAATAGCGATGAAAAAATCTATCGCTATTTAATAAAATTCTAGTGGTGTACTCTAGAAACCCTTCTCTAAAACTTTGGTTTTCTCTCCCTAAATCGGACATGGTCACCCTTTCTTAGGTAGAGAAACTTTTCAATAAACGGTTTGCACATGTTTGCCAAAGTTTGGATAGAACTAAGGGCCAAGTTTACATACCAAGTGTATGCCTTCTTAATCAACGACTCGGAAAAATCATTCAATTTGAAATCATCATCTAAGCCATAAAGACCTAAGACTCTAAGAACTTCATACAAGATTCCTAATATCGCCTCATTTTCTATTAAAAACATTAAGCCTAAAACTAACATAGTTCTTCAAGTAAGGGCTCACTACGATGTAGGTTGGATAGGGAAGTTTGAGATCAAACTTACTAGTATATTTTGACAACTTTTATTCAAAGAAATTTTCTAAATCCTCTTTAATAACATAGTGGTATTGATCACTAAAAGCGACATTATAATGATGTAGTTAGTCATCATGCAAAGTCGTACGATGGGCATTTGGTGGAGGGAATGTCTTTCCTATCATCTAGTTGAACAAGTGGCGTTGGATGATCCCCTACATTAATAGTTGAAGGTATCATGATTTGAGGGATAATAGTTTAGGAGATTCCACTTGTGGAAAGTAGTTAGGTTATGTTACTCGGGGTTTGGACAAATACCAAATTGTTGTCTTAGTGGACTTTGAAAACTTGATATTGTTTTTGCTTTAATTTGATTTGAGCATTATGAAAAAACTTAAAGACTTCAATCATGGCCTAAAGACTTGAATGTTAAACAACTTCGACATAAGCTTGAGCAACGGGTTGAGAGAGATAGCCTTCTAATAGTGCTGGCAAGGTGCCACTACCAATTTGAGGTTTGGAGGTTAGTTTCCCTTTTTAGTTTTAAATAGGTCGACGTTGCCGGCATTATGATTGGGATCTAGCAACATCCGGTCTTAGAAGCTATCACTACTCTTTCACAATCAATAACTTCCTAGTGGATTCGTCAAAGTGTGTAGGAGGTTTTAACAATTGATTAAAAGAATAGTTGCCAAGCCGGCTAAAATACGAGAGATCTAATGTTGTAACTTGTAGAAGTTACAATCAACTAACAAGTAGAAAATATGCAAGTAGTGAGAGATGTATAAGGAAAATTAGGCAATGTTAGTGAGGCGCAAGTCGAGTGGGTCACAAGTGGATGGTCAAAGTCCAAAAGGGTGGAACTTTAAATGTTGTATGATATGTGAATGAGGGAAAAATCTAAGAGCAAGGGTTTAGGGTTGTTTTTTTTTTTTTTTCCCTAGAGTTCAAAGTTTGGAAAATCCCACTCATAATGATTTGAGATCAATATTTATAGTGAAATGAGGGCAGCTCTTGACCGCTAGAATTATGTCATGTCATTCATATTTTGTTGGTTAGATTTGAAATGAAGAAACTAGGTTTTTTGGGCCGATCTGTTTCAACTTGTTAGTAAAAACTAAAAAAAAAAAATAACAATTAGGTTTTCTTTTAATAGACTTTGCTCTAAGTAAACCAAACATTTCTTCCTAATGAAGTTTGAAGATAAGGCATAGATACTATTCATGTTAGAGTATTCGTATTCATCTTTGCGATCCAAGGCTTTGTGCTAAGCTAGATCATCTTACTCTAATCAATTTGTTATATAGCTCAAACTCATATTAAACTAAATAACAACAACAACAACGTAAATTAAGTTATAATAAAAATTAATGAAGTTATTTAATTTAAGGAAAATAGGGCAGATACAATATCAGTAAACATGGATCATTATATATGAATTATGATCGATCAGCATTCTTTTTTATCCCCATACGCAAGGACAAAAGCTGGAGGCTAGTTTTGCTTTGTGGGGCAGTAAGAGCACTAAAGTTGGCTGGATTAGCTCTACGGTACTGGGTGTTCTCAACATTCACTGAGCAAACCTATCCATTCGTCCACAAAAGAAGAGGTGACAGCGAAACTCACGCTATTGGTGTTGCATGTTCAAAAGATTCCATTCCTTTTTATTTTTCCCTTCTATACATACCTTAATCAACATCACCATTTAATTGCAACAAATATCTACATTATTAACAAAGAAAAAAATAAAACAATTTATCTTTGTCCCAGAACCTTCCGTTCAAGAATGCGATAAGCCTAATCCCTACCGTCATCAGTAAGATAGGCAGTATTGTGTATTAATTATATAGTGGAGGGCCACCTTTTGATTTCAACATTCACTCTTTGCCTATAAAAAGGAAGCCTTCCCAAGACATCTTTGGTCTGAATTGAAAAATACAATTAGCTTCTTTATTTCTCTCAAAACATTTAATTTGGTGCTCTTTTCTCTGTTCGAAGTACTCAAAAAATGGTTAGTATATGGTACCTTGTTTTTTCTTTTTCTTTTTTTTTTTTTACTTGCACATGCATATAAGCATGTTCGAAATACAATTGGCTTCTTTATTTCTCTCAAAACATTTAATTTGGTGCTCTTTTCTCTTTTCGAAGTACTCAAAAAATGGTTAGAATATGGTACCTTTTTTTCTGTTTTTTTTTTGTTTTTACTTGCACATGCATAGAAGCATACATGTTTCTGATGGCAATTGAACGAAGTTAACAGTTGTCGAATAAAATCTTATTCATTTCGCAGGATGGGAAGATGAGCTGGGCCATTGCCGATGCCACAGACCACAAAGGTTTCCCAGCCGATAGATCTAAAACAGGTGGTTGGGTGCCGGCTGCGCTTATTTTAGGTTTGATTTCTAATAAAATTCTCTCTATATTATGATAGATATTTGTACGTTAATAGGACCTTGTGTACACAGAATTCATTTCTTTTCATCCAGACTCGATAATATATTGATCCTATATATATGCTAATAATTCCCTAGCTGTCTCGCCCAATTCCCAGAAGAGTTTGATACTTCTAACAATGTTTATCAATTTCTTTATTATTATTATGAAGTTCCATTCATTTCTGTGACTTTAGTCATTTTTCTTTTAAATTAATCCAAGAAATTCTAAATGAATGGTCACAATTTAACAGATGCTGAAAATGACAAAAAAAGAATTATTAATATTTATTCTCTCATTTATTATAAATAATTTATTTTAAAATAAACAATGAGATTTTTGGAATATTATGACCATTTTTTTCTTGAAATATAAGAGAATACAACAACAACAGTAACTGTTGTTTTGGAAAAAGGAATAGTCTTTTTGTGTATTAGGATGCTGATGGTCGAAAGGAGCAATAAGTAGGCGTTTCATGCAAAGTTGATGAGAAGATACTGATGTATCCATATCATCATAAACATTGGTAATTCCAAAAGAGAGTCAATCTAATTAGAGCATGTACCACTAACACGTGCCCGCACTCATCAAAAGATTTAGACCACAGTCGACTCAAGTTATTAACTATATTTCATACTTGAGTTGTCACGATGATGATATAATGCTTCAAAAAAAAAAACTGCCTTTGACGGGGCAGTTAGGCATGTGAACTATGAAATATTCCCATGCCAGTATGCTCGTTCTTTGTCTTCCACTATGACTGCAGTTTTGTGGAAAAAAGGCTAAAAGAAAAAAGTAGCAAGGCACGTGATATATCTAATTTCCCTTACACTACAGTTTTGGCCATCTTTGTAACTAAAATGCAAATACTCTTTGCTAAACATTCTCTATCTTCTGAATACTTTTGATTCATCCTTTTTTCGTTTTTTCCAACCAAAAGCCCAAGAAACCGAACTTCGAAAAGTGGGATACATTACTAATTAGACAGTTGGAAACACGATAGCTTTCGAAATTTTTTTAAATGGTCTGATTATTGATTTACGAATAATATAATTATAACATGTAGAGCGCTAATTTTCTACAGGGATTGAAATTTGCGAGAGGCTTTCAACAATGGGAATAGCAGTGAACTTGGTGACATATTTGATTGGAACTATGCATCTGCCTAGCGCAACCTCAGCCAACATAGTAACGGACTTCATGGGCACATCTTTTCTCTTGTGTTTGCTTGGAGGCTTTCTTGCTGATTCTTTTCTTGGCAGATACAAGACAATTGCAATATTCGCTGTGGTACAGGCACTGGTGAGTTGTCTCTCTCTCTCTCTATATTTATATATATAGACCCGATGATTTTTTTTTCAGCTCCGAGTGTCTCGACGAAGGAAAAAAAAAAGTTGTCTTAATCATCAATTTCTGACTACATATATCTTAATCAATGAACTCTTGTCATTTAAGGGTACTGGAATGCTTTCCATTTTGACGAAACTGCCCCACCTACACCCTCCCCCTTGTCACAGTACTAGCTATTCGTGCATTCAAGCAAACGGGTTCCAGATGGGAATTTTTTACTTGGCTTTATATCTGATTGCCCTGGGGACTGGTGGCCTAAAATCAAGTGTTTCAGGATTCGGAACTGATCAGTTTGACGAGGAAAATGAAAAGGAGAAGTCCCACATGGCCTATTTCTTCAATAGGTTCTTCTTCTTCATTAGCATAGGAACTTTGATGGCCGTTACGGTGCTTGTATATATACAAGATGAAGTTGGTCGCAGCTGGGCTTATGGGATTTGTTCTGTTTCGATGTTTATAGCCATCTTTGTATTTCTTTCGGGGACTAGACAGTATAGGTATAAGAGGAGTTCAGGCAGCCCCATCGTTCACATTTTCCAAGTTATTGTAGCTGCTTTAAGGAAGAGGAAAATGGATCTCCCTTACAGTATTACCTTATTGTACGAGGACACCCCAGAGGCTTCAAGAATCCAACATACAGACCAATTCCTGTAAGTTTCTTCTTATTAACATGACTTGTTTTTGACTTGCTCTTATTTATGCTACATCATTTTTTTGGTGGTTCCAGCACAGCAGAAAGACCTTTTCTTCTTAGTGGTACATCCCTAGCTATGCAAATTAAATATACCGATCCATATTATGACATCTTTAATTCAAGTATATATAATTCGAGCATTGGAAGCCAAAAAACGAAGTCATACCGAAAAATTGAACAAATTAAAATTTGCTATTTTCCTCATCAATGTCAACACTCTTATCTCTAAAATTAGAAAGAAAATTAAACAGTTGTTTAACACGGTTATGTTGACTTTCAATTGTAGTTTGTTGGATAAGGCAGCCATTGTTGCACAAGGAGATTTTGAGAATGCTGGCTCTGATCCCAATTCATGGAAGCTAGTCTCAGTGACAAGGGTTGAGGAAGTCAAAATGATGGTGAGACTATTGCCAATCTGGGCCACAACCATCATATTTTGGACAACTTATGCACAGATGATAACATTCTCAGTTGAGCAAGCATCAACAATGGAGAGATCAATAGGAAGTTTCCAAATTCCAGCAGGCTCTCTCACTGTCTTCTTTGTGGCAGCTATTTTAATTACTCTAGCAATTTATGATCGTTTGATCATGCCTCTTTGGAAAAGATGGAAGGGAAAACCAGGTACGTACAATTGAAACACTTCTCACGGTGTATTTTAAAATCTTTTGAAAGCATTTTCCTTCCCAAAATATAATATTGTCGTCTACTCGTCTCTATATATGTACACACATGTCACAGGCTTCACAAACCTACAGAGAATAGCTATTGGCCTTGTACTATCAACTCTTGGAATGGCAGCAGCAGCACTAGTCGAAAGAAAACGATTGTCAGTAGCCGGAGCTATAGGTGGCAACACAACAACACTTCCCGTGAATGTGTTCTTATTGATACCCCAATTCTTTTTGGTGGGTTCAGGTGAAGCCTTCATATACACGGGCCAACTTGATTTCTTCATAACTCAATCACCGAAAGGAATGAAAACTATGAGCACTGGACTCTTCCTCACAACTCTCTCTCTTGGCTTCTTCTTGAGTAGTTTCTTGGTCATGATTGTGAAGAGGGTGACGGGAAAGAATGGTGGCCAGGGATGGCTAGCTGACAACATAAACAATGGGAGGCTTGATTACTTCTATGGACTTCTTGCCATACTTGGGGTCATAAATTTTGTTGTCTATCTTATCTGCGCAGTGTGGTATAAACCTAAAATCACTAAACCAAGTTTGCAGATGGAGACTATGGGTGAGGGGAAATGCTAGATACTAGTTAGGCTTTGATATGAAGTTTCTTCTGTATCGTTTTGTTCTGCACGTAAATCAGAAATAATTTGGGTTTGGTTTCTTCTTTCTTGTATGCCAGCACGATCAATTGAGCAATTTGAGCTTGAGATTTCTTTTAAACTATTGTAATCTTTCATTAATTAATGGTCAAGAAGTTGAAATGACTAATTACGCATGGAGTAACTAGTGTTAGTAACTCTATGTAGAGAGATATATATAAAGAAGAGAGAAAATTGTGAGATGAACATGGATGTGCTTAAATGATATCATTAAATTTTCTAACTTGTAGCATTGTCAAGAATCGATCTTGACAATATGTGGTAAAACTTGTGAGTTCTATGATCTTGCTATAAGATAGAAGTAGAAGATCTCATATCGATTGGCATGGTAATGCCAAAACAAGTGCTCGAGTGATTAATGTTAGAGAATATATCACTAGACACGACTCACTACAAGAGCGCATTTGGCTTAGCTTATGAAAATCTCATATGAGATGATACAAATGGTCCTTTGACTTGATGTCATCACAATTATCTCATTAGAGGATTTATGTATTTTAACACCCATTTTGATGGGCTCGATCAAGAGCTGCATGTAAGCAATTTGTTAGATGCGTTATAAATCTAATTGAGATAGGTGGATGGCTCGATAGGATATATCATTCCATATATATCGAAGGAGTTATCCCGTTGCATTTTAATAAATGTCCGTTCGGGGAATGCTGTGAACATAATAGTAGTATACCAATAGAGTATAGTTAGTTTACTTTAGAATTAAGGCATGTGAAAATCAAAGAGAACTTGTGTGATCATAATCGAATAGATAATGAACTAAGTTTAAGATTACATTGTGATAAATTGGCATGATGAATGAATTGTATGGTATCCATGCTCATGAACGGTAATTATAGATTAATTAATCCTCTTAGAAAATTGGGTAGTCATGATGCCTTGCAAGAGGCCAATCTTGATTTATGTATTAAAAGATAAAAAAGGTGTTTTTTTAATTTTCGATACATTCTCAACATATCTAAGAGCCTATTGAGTCACATGCATAAGTTTAAACATTTACATGATAAAAGAGAAGTAAAAATTTTAGAAAAGTTTTCCTTTTTTAAAATTTGGAAGTTAGTTCCAAATTGAAAGTCGGTTACCTAAAAAAGAAATTAGTTTCCTTATTTAGGTTTAAAGATAATTTGAGAAATGTTTCCTAACGTGAGCGTCTTAAAAATATCCGACCTAATTTTTTTAGATGATCCAAATTAATTGGTAGTTAATTGGGCCGAAGTATTTAGGTTAATAGGTTTAATTTAAAAGCTCGTAAGATATTTTGGTGGAGGGATAAACTTAAATATTATTAGATAAGGCTCGGGGTCTATATGGATAAGATCAAACAAAACCCATATACACGAGTATCTCTTTGACCTTTAAGGGGAAGCTAGCACCCTCAATATATATAAGAGGGATGAGAGAGGTGATAATTAGTGTAAGAGAAAAAAAATCATAGTAATAGAAAAGGAAAATAAGGAAAAACATTTTTCTCCTAAAAATAATTACTTATCATATATCTTTCTAAAAAGCCAAAAATTTGTGCAAATTACCATATAGGATTTCTAGAGAAAAATAAACTATACAAAAGGATTAGAGCTAGTACTCTAGGAATTTTGTTGCTTCTTGTATGAGTGTTTGAGTTATGTGGATAATCAATAGAGGCCGAACACTTGGATGATTTCCTTTTCTCTTGAATTGTTTATGCATTACAAGAGGTAATCATTCACCAATATTTATATTCATATTTATGTATGATTAGTTGATTCAATAGCGTGATCTTGGGAACCTTAGATGGAGGAAATTTTTTATTTATTTCATACCTCCATACGAGTACATGATCCCTCAATCGATATTAGATCATCTATTGAATATTTAATTGTATGTTATGTTAATTGTGATTAATTCATGAATCAATGTTTTTGTACTATAAATCTAGGGTTTTTTTGGTATTTTACAATGTTTTTTAAACTTATTTTAGGCTAAGGAAAAGTGAGCAAGTGCGAGGCCGGTGTTGGCGCTTGCACGCATGGCAATAGGTAGGCTAAGGGTGTGTCGGGCCAAGCGTGGCTCGCATATGCCGGGCTTATGGTTAGGTTAGGCATGCACTAGGTGTATGCTAGGTCGATGGCAAGGCTAGGCATGCCTTGTGCACCCCGAGCCTCTCGTCGGGCTAGACTCATCTTGCGTACTTGCACATTTGTAGCGAGGCCAAGTGCACGCTAGAGTTCATCACACATGCCAAATGCATGCTACATACATACATGGGCCGAGTGTGCCTCGTGCAAGCCGGCATTAAGCCAATTAGCCGGCCAAGGCCAATGTTAGGTGCTTGCTAGTGGCTAGTTCCGGGCCAAATGCATGTGAGTGGGCTATACTAGTACTAGGCACTAGCTAGCCGGGATATGCCAACCCACTGAGCCCCCGAGGCCCACAAGCCCATAGGCTTAAGTTAGGCCCAAGGCCTAAAAGTCTAAAAATTTAAAATTTTTAAATTTTAATATTTTATAAAATGACCAAAACCAAGATTGACAATCATGATTAAAATGAAATTTTTTTATTTGAATGCCATGTATGAATATGATTAAAGCATAGGTGAATGGTATGGATGAGTTAACCTAGTTTTTAGGAATGTATTCTTATAATTTTTTTTGTCAAATAGAACTTATATGTTCTACCTTCTCTATTATTCTAATGTATTTTTCTTCTCATCTTACTCTCCTTGAATGTAATTCAATGTTTCTTTTTAAGAATTATAAAAGCAAAAGATAGATTATTAGAATAGATGAAAGAAGAAGGAACCAAGAAGAGAAGATAATTCTAAAAAAATTATAATAATTTTTCCTAGGTATTTGACCTGTGATCTTTTTAAGGCTCGAAGGGACTAGTGATAGAAATTTATTACCATTCATCGATCCTTAAGTCATGCATGAGATTGATGAGATTGAACTCCTATATACATGATTATGTGATTGATAGAATGCATGATAGAATTAATACAATTGAGCTCTAGTATGCATGATAGGACCAAATTGATAAGACCATATGATACTAAATCCTTCAAACAAATATCAAGTTAGATGCCTTCGATCGTTAGGAGGAGAGAATCTATAAGTTGTTGTTGATTTATTGAGATAACTCAAAGTTTCTTCTTTCTTGAGGAATCAAATCATGGGCTATACAATGCCACTAAATGTTTGGGTGCAACTTGAGATGAATTATTGAGATTATTGAGATAACTTAAGACCCAATAAATTTCTAGGCAAAGATTGGTATTTATATAAGATATGAGTGTTAGTATAGGTGCTTAAGATCCGACCTTGTTTAGATGGTTTTGTAATATTACATTTATTATTTAATTAATTAATTTTTTTATTAATTATTGTTATTTATATTTTGATAGAACTAAATGAAAGTCCATATGATATGCATTACATTAATGGTTGATTAAAAGATATGAGAAAAACCTTGATGCACTTAAATGATATCATTAAATGTCCCAATTCATAGTATTGTGAAGAATGGATATTAACTATATATGGTAAGACTTATGAGTTATATGCTAGTGTTATATAGCGAGTAGTAGGAGATCTCACACATATTAGCATCGTAATACTAAAGCAAGCACTTAGGTGATCAATGTTAGAGACAATATCACTAAACGTGACTTGCTATGAGAACCCATTTGGTTTAGCCTATGAGAATCTTAAACGAGATGGGTACAATTGGTCCTTTGGCTTGAAATCTTCATGGTTATGTCATTAGAGGATTTATATACTTTGACACTAATTTCAATAGGCTCGGTTAAGAGTTGTACATGGGCGATGTATTGGGTACACTAGAAATCAAATAGAGATAGGTGTATAACTAAAATTAGACATGTCCTTCCTTATATGCTAAAGGAGTTATCATATTGCACTTCGATGAATGCATGTTTAAGAAATTAATAGCCATGGTAGGAGTATAGCAATCGAGCATAGTTGGTTTACTTGAGAGTTAAGACATTTGGAATTGAAGAAAACTTATGTGATCATAATTGAACAAACTATAAATCAAGTTTGAGATCACATTATAGTAAATTCATATAAGGAATGAATTGTCCGATAACCATGTTCATAAAAGGTAATTACGGATTAATTAATCCTATAAGAGAATTAGGTAATCCTAATGCTTTGTTAGAGGACAATCTTGATTTATGTATCGAAAGGTAAAAGAGGTGTCTTTTATTCTTAATACATTTTCAACATATCTAAGAGCCTATTGAATCACACTTATGAGTTTAAGCATTCATATAATAAAAGAGAAGTAAAGATTTTGAAAAAGATTTCAAGTTTTGAAAGTTTTTGATTTTGTAAAAGGTTTTTGAAAATGGAAAGTTTTCTATTTTGAAAAAAATTTCGTTTTGGAAAAATTTTCCTAAAATGGAAAGTTTTTGAGGAAAATTTTCTATGTTAAAAATCGGTTTCTAAATTTGAAAGTTACAAATTTGAAAGTGAGTTACCTAAAAAGAAAATTAGTTTTCTAATTTAGGTTTAAGGGTAACTCGATAAATTATTTTCTAATGTGAACTTCCTAAAAATATCTAACCCAATTTATTTGGATGGTTCAAATTAATTATTAATTAAATAGGTAGTAAGAATTTGATTCGATAAGCTTAATTTAAAAGCTAGCAATATATTTTTCTAGCGGGATTAACTTGAGTGCTATTGGATAAGGTTAAGGGTTCAAAAGGATAAGATCAAACAAACCTACATAAGTTGCAACTTCTTATCCTTGGAGGATAAGGATGCCACCCCCTTATATAAATAAAGGGAGAGAAGTGACAAAAAGAGAGTAAGAAAAACACAAAGACACTACAAAAAGAAAAGAAAATGAGGGAAAATGTTTCTCCCTCTAAAATCTTGATTACGTTTCCCTCCTTAAGAGCTTGAG